TATCTATATCTATATATATATAGAGAGAGAGAGAGAGAGAGAGAGAGAGAGAGAGAGAGAGAGAGAGAGAGAGAGTCATTCATTTATTCCTTCTTTATCTCTCTGATTTGGGTATTGGGGTCGTAGACTTCACCCAGACAGCGTGGCAACACACTGTGATAACAGTGATAACCATGTTCAGCGGCATTTTGAGTATTGAAGCTTCTCTTAAGTCCTGAAGCCTAAACCCAAGACCCTGAACTCTAAACCCTAAACCCTAAACCCTGAACCCTAAAGCCTAAGCACTAAACCCTGAAACCCCTACAGTTTCGGGGTTTAGAGTTTGAGGGCGTGGGTCCTGAGCCTTCACAGTGAAACTCACACCCTGCCCACGACCCCTCCGTCCTTGCTACCCAGAAGAAGAGGATGTCGTGACCGGTCTCTAAGAGCGAGGTCGGGAAGAAAGCCTTGAAGTCCTTCAAGGCTTGTAGGGCTGTTTAGGTTTAGGGCGTGTTTAAAGTTTAAGGTTTGCGGGCTTGGGGCAACTTGACGAATGGATAGCAACAAGTGGCGCAATAATATGGTACACCCTGATGTTACAATCTCTTTGTCCGAAAGACTATGGCTTCCGATACAGCTTCCTGAAAGGCTTCCAAACGCTAAAACGATCCACTCTACGCGTCAACCGCTAATCGCATTCGTGATTCCTTAACCCTCAACCCTAAACAATAAATCCTAAAGCCCTAAACCTTAAACCCTACATTCTAAGGCTCACAAGCTATGATTCTCGATGCTGTGTCAGTGAATGACGCTTATGAGCTTAAAGTCGTAGCCGTCGTCGTCGTTGCAGCAGCGGAAAGGGTATTGGTGATAGAAGCAGCGGCAGTAGCTGCGGTCGCAGCCGCAGCAGCAACGTTGGCATCACAGCAGCTGGCAGTCTTAGAAACCGTGTTCTCATGGTCGTTATTCTCACTGATGTTCTGACCGTTGCTCTTCTCACGTCCCGAAACCTGCAGCATGAAGACTTACCTGGTGACATGCTGTGGGTCTTCCACACCAAGCCGTGGCCGGCCGGGCGTGTCGACGCACATGATGTGGCAACTTGCCGATGAATTAAACACAAACTTCAACGCTAAACCCTAAACCCCAAACCCTAAACCCTAAACCTCAAACCCTAAACTGCAAGCCCTAACAGGTACATACATATACTGTAGAGCTCGAATCGACTTCACCAGCGACTCGGAGGGGTTTCATAACCGGTAAGCCGTCGAACCCTCGGGAATAGCATTTCTGTCATCCTCAGGCCTCCGCATTGCACCCCGGATTTCCAAACGGGCCGAACCATGGACCCTAAACCCAAACCCCCGAGACAGCAAGGAAAAACTGTGGCGAGGTGTCCTCGTTGTTCTCGGTGTCGGGCCAGCCAAAGACGGAGAAGGGGAAGAGACCTGCCAGGGACATGGGGTGAGGATCGCTGCCTGGAGCACTGAAGGTCTCGATCTATAAACCCTCAACCTTAAACCCTGAACCCTGAACCCTAAACCTTAAACCCTGAACCCTGAGAACCCTACAACCTACACGCTGCTTTGGGGGATCGTCATTGTGGCGATGTCCCGGTGACGTCTGGGCCTTCGGGGGATGCTTCCGTTGCCGGAAACATCGACACTTTCCGTCCACCTGAAACCTCTCTTGGAAAGGTTTTTTTTTGTTGAGGGCCTTTTCCGTCACTTGCGCTTCGAAGCCCTTGGAAAGGGTTTAGGGTTTAGGGCTTAAGGTTTAGGGGTTTAGGCTTTAGGGTTTAGGGACCTAAGCTCGGGCAGCGGGACTTGTAAGGACTTCTTAGCCATTGCGGAAGAAGAAAAGCGGTGCTAAGTATGCAGAGTGTACTTGGGGCTTACGGCTAAAGGGCTGGGGAGAAATACTTCCAGCCTCAAGCGCAGCAGATATCTACATAACCCGGTATATACGTGTGGTTCCCAATAAAGCTTGTAACGCACACTGCCAAGCCCCGCAACGGGTCAGATTGAACCCGAACCCCAAAACCCTAGTAAAAGCCGTTAGCAAGTTTAAAGGAACCCTAAAAAAAGATCCTATGAGGACCAGACTCCCCATATAAACCCAGGGCCGTACAACCCTACACTCATTCCCAAACCCATACAGAACCTCTAAAGGAACCCGTAAATGACCAAAGCATGCCTAACGGAAGCCTAAACCCTAAACCCTAACTTGGTGGCTTCTTCCTTTCAAGGCTATGGCCCAGGAGATGCTCGCCGTTCAGGCTTCAAGGCTTACCCTAGGCGCTTAATCTAACATGGGGGCCTAAAGAAGTAGAAAGGTTTTAGGGCTTAGGGCTTCGGGTGAGTATTAATCATATTATTGTAGCATAGGGACTATAATGCAATATTGCTAGTACTTGTTCCGACCCCTAAATTAAGGCTTGGTGGGGTTTTGGGTTGGGTGCTTGAAAGTGCGGTTTGGGTTTACGGTGCAGGGCCTAGGGCGCAGGGTTGCACCGCTTAGACGGGGTTGTAGAAGGATCTGGAAACCGGAACGTCCCGGTGCGCCTGAGGAAAACCAGGTGTCCAACACATCCTCGTCCTGCTCCACTTCCACCTGCAGATTGAATGCCCTACCCATAGGCCCCTAAGTAGTTCCTTTTGGGGATTACCTTATAGGATTCTAGATCTAAACCACAAAAAGGAACTTCCTAGGGGCCTATGGGTACGGAGTACTGAGTAATGTTGAAAAGTGTTCCGGCCCCTCATCTCCTCTACGTACTCTACTGGAGGTTTACATCTTACGATGAGCAAGCGGGCCTCTACCCTGTTTAAGGAGCCCTCGTTCCTCATGCCATCCGGGATGCGAGTGGACAGATCAATCAAGGTACTTGGGGTTCATGAGTAGTTATAGGTTTCTGAGTCACCGAATATTGGTTATACGTACGGTTATCCTACGTATGACCCACGTATAACTACCCGTGAACCTCAAAGTACGTACCTTTGTTTAGCGACCCTCCCTTTTTAAGGACGGAGGTATACAGCCATCAAGCCCCGAAGCCTGAAAAAACACCCTTCAACCCAAAGCTGCCCTCCCGAAAGTTATGCCATGGAGCCCAAAATCCCCAAACCCCCTCGGCCATTAAACCCCTGAACCCTGAACCCCAAACCCTCCAGGGAGACCCGAAACCCTCTAACTGCAAGCCCAACCTGCGTAAAAAAAAACTCCCCGAAAGCCTAACCTCGAAACCCCAAGCCACTATATAGGGTTTAGGGTTTAGGGTTTAGGGTTTAGGGTTTAGGCTTCATAAGACTCTGAAAAGCTCGGCTCGAGACACCGATACAACATCCAGTAACACAACGCGAAGGCCCTACACTTAAAGAAGAGTTCATTGTTCATCAAACAATGGAAACCAGAAACCAAGAAAAAGGAAGACCACTTCTGAAAGGTGAATACAGAGATAAAGAAGCATATGTACACATATCATATATATATATGTTTACAATGTGTATATGTACACATACACACACATTCATATGAAGCACCGGAGCCTTTTTTCCTTTAGAAGCTCCCGCCCTAAACCCTAAACCCTAAACCCTAAACCCTCAGCCCTAAACCCTAAACCCTAAACCCTACACCCTCAACCCTCAGCCCTAAACCCTAAACCCTAAACCCAAACCCTATCCGCCTTGGTGCCGAGAGCCTTCTCGGCCTTGGCTGCGGCCTCCTGGGCGCTGCGGCCCGTGAACCACTTCTCCTCGGCCTTTTTTAAGGTGGAGGGTTTAGGGTTCCTTTAAGGGTTTAGGGTTCCTTTAAGGGTTTTAGGGTTTTGGGTTGAGGGTTTAGGGTTCAGGGTTGAGGGAGGGTTTAGGGTTTAGGGTTGAGGGTTGAGGGTTTAGGGTTTGGGGTTTTAGGGTTCCTTTAAGGGCTCCCTCTAAGGGGTCCTTTAGGGGCTTGCTGTTAGGGGCTCCTGTAGGAACTCCATGGAAGAGATCCGGAGAAAAGGCGTTTTTTTCAGGTCAGGGTGGCTGATACGCTAAAATAGGGGCCTCAATAGTTGGAATAGGGCTCCTTTAAAGGGTTCTTTTCAAAGAGCTTCGTTAAAGAGGTCTGGAAGGGCTTGAGGATATCGGTAACTTGGCGTTGGCGCTTTAGGGACGGAGGGTTTGGTGTGACACTGCGCTTTCTTCTTTTTCGGATCTGGTATGGATTGCTTTGGGGCTCTACAGAGCTTTGATAGGGTCCCACTACGGGGCTCCCCTGAGGCCTTGGCTTGGGACTGGGTCTGGAAAGTTTGGCAAATGGAGTTCTAGAACAGATGCGAGGGTTTTCATGGGGATTTTTGTGAATTCTTGAGGGATCCAGACTTCAGACTTGAGTGTCGTATTAAGGAACCCCCTGAACCCTAAACCCCATCTGATGATGCCTTTTTGTACCAACTACTACAACAAACAGCATTATAGCACCCTCAACGAGCCGTTATAGAATCATTAACGAGCCCGGGCACAACATCCCTTTAGGGCCCGGTAGAATAGGGTTTAGGGTTTAGGGTTGAGGGGTTTAGGGTTTAGACCCTAAACCGTAAACCCTAAGCCCTAATCCCTAAACCCTAAACCCAAGGTTTCCTTACAGAGCCGTTGAAGTCCCCGTGCGCCTGCGCGGGCTTCACCACCTTGTAGGCCGGGATGCGGTGGCCCCACCAGAGCTGCCTTGAAATGCACCACTCCTCCGCCAGCTCAGGGGGTAGAGCTCAGGCTTCAGAGTTGGCTTCAGGGTTTTGGGCCTTTGGGCTTACCTGGGAATCCAAAAACCTACCGTTTTAGGGGCCTCTACCCTACAATTAAGGGGTCATGACCTACTATTTTGTAGGGTTTCGGGGTCACAGGTAGAGCCCAGAAGGCCCAGTTTACTCCTGAGAAGGAATACATGGCGACAAGTTGGGTGTCTTCGGACGACTTGCCCTGCTTAATTGAGGTGTGTTGCGCTCTTTGACAGCGGAGCTTGCTTCAGGAACGTACTGTCACATCATGATTCAGTGTTTAGGGATCCTAAACGTTATCTCGAAGCCATGAATCGATGGCATTTGAATCATGTTAGGTTCCGCGCTTGACTTTGATGGTGCAAGACAGCGTGTGTGTAACAGCCTTGGGCTCGCGTCTTGAGGGTAGGGTCTGAGGTTTAAGGCTCAGCGTGTGGGGTCTTGAGGGTATGACGAGCACTGGTCAGAGACGGCCTGGGTAAGAACCCAAGTCCAAGTCGATTGAAGGGCCTGTGATCGGGATACTTTATGGTGTCCTGGATGTTCTCCAGCCAGTGATACCACGTCTGATGGTGGAATTCCGGCAGAATCTTGAGTTCACCTGGAAATCTACGGGTTTGCTTGCAAGGGGCAGGGTTTAGGGATCGGGATTCAGGCTGGAGGGTCTACGGACAGCGCCGCCGAAGTCTGCAACCATTCTGCATGAAGCAGGCAGTATCCCTCATAGTAACAGTTATAGCCGCGGTTTTTGTATCCACCATGGCAACCCTGAAAAGTATGCATTATCGTGTCCCTTATAGATAAACCCTAAACCCTAAACCCTTGGGGAACCCTGGTAGAAGCCCTGGAAGCCCTGACAGCTTGCCGCACCTTCTCTCAAGGCCTTCACACTCCGATCTGCGAGATCCTGGCAGTTCATCCACCACTGCCTTAACCAGCACTGGGGGCGTAGGGTTGAAGGCCGAGGATTTAAGGCCTTAGGGCATCAGTAGGGTTTAGGGCCCTAAACCCTAAATCCTAAACCGTAAACCCTAAACCCCAAACCCTAAACCCTAAACCCTAATAGTAGGGTTTAGGGTTTATGATGATTTTCGGCCTGCTTGGTCGACTCTTACTGTGGACCCTCGCGCGAAGTCAACCGTTTAGGGTTTAGGGTTTAGGGTTTAGGGTATAGGGCATAGGGTTTAGGGTATAGGGTTTAGGGTTTAGGGCTTAGGGTTTTAGGGTTTAGGGGTTTGGGGTATATTGTTAGATTTTCCGTTGGAAGTACGTACTTTACTGTCAGCGCTTCTAGTGCGAGGAACATTTTAAGTACCGGTGAGACTAACTTTTTACACCCCAATGAACCCACCAGGGCCGCTTTTGTATGACTGCAAATATCACGGTTTCGTACAGAACATGTACATCTTCCCCTCGAACCAACGCATCCAGCAAAACAACCACTAGTGCAATGTTCCTACTGCAGGTTTGGTAATCGCTCCAATACTACGACTTGGAATGTGTTCATCGCGATTCTTCAAACGGCTACGAGTCGACACCTGTTGGTTCTCCAGCATCGTCGTTGTGACGATGGACGAAGCATTGAAACACAAGTTAAAGTCAAAGAGCTCGCCGATGACGGCGATGCTAAAGAAATAACAAAAAGCAGCAACAAATAATCACACACAAGTAGTACTTATAGATAACGAGAAAGACAATCATGACCGTGGACTAGAATTGCACACCAACCATAGTTCTAGTACAAGTACGAACACTAAACAACGAGAGCACACGAAAAAAGAGAGAGCAGTGACAAAGAACAAGAACAAATGCTAAGAACAAGAGCAGCACCAACCGCAACACCGTAAAACCCTAAACCCGCAAAACTCTATGACCCTAAACACCAAGCAACCCCAAAGCCCCAAGAACCCCTCTTGCAACTCTTACAACAGCCCCCTTACAGTAACCCTGGAAGGAACCCTCAACAAAAAATCCTTTTGGAACCCTTCAACGAACGGGATCCCAGCGGCGGCTTCAAGTAAGGCTCGATGATGTCTTTCGACCGGGAGCAGAACCCCAACCGCATGGAGTGGCCCTTCTTCCCCACCTGAGCCCCGGGTTTCTTCGGGGCTCCTTATTGGGCCCCGTTTTTGGGTTTAGGGTTTAGGGTTGCGGGTTTAGGGTTTAGGGTTTTTTTTGTCGGCTTCCTTTCAGGGTTCCTTTTCGCGGGTTCCCTTGAGGGTGCTTTTCAGGTTCTATATGGGTTACAGCTTCTTGGTGTTACATGGCTGAATATTATGATTTAGGGTTTGGGGTTTACGGTTTTGGGTTTAGGGTTTTCGGGTTTAGGACTATGGCTCTATCGATGCCTAGAGGCTTGCACAGGGACGTTATTGAGAGGTTTACTTCCATACCGGCCGTGCGGCTTCATAGGTTTAGGGCCGAGCAACCCTCAGGATCCCTACCGCCACGTCCAATACACGCCTACCTACTACGGTTGATGACATATATCCTGCATTACCCATAACAAGGAATATACCATAATTCCCATAGTTTAGGGTCCTTAAGGTCATGCAGGATTTATATCATCAACAGTATGTCCCCTGAGCCTTCAAGCAAAGGAGCCAACCATCCAAAAGCAACATCAGAAGCAGGAGGTCCCTAAACCCTAAGCCCTAAACCCCTAAACCCTAAACCCTAAACCCTAAGCCCTCAACCCCTAAACCCTAAACTCCTAAACCCCGAAACCTCTAAGCAGGAGGTCCCTCTTACTCAGGTGGTAACCCTCGTAACCTGGGCTCTCCGCGGGCGATGCCGGCACTTCAGACCATAAAACCGAACCCTCTTTAGGGTTTAGGGTTTAGACCCTAGATCCTAAAGTCTAAGTGCCAGAACTAATTTAAAGCCCCAAACTCCGAACCCTAAAACCCTGAAACCCCGAACCCTAAAGCATCCCCTACTTAAGGCCGTAGCTCAAGGGCGAGATACTCCAAGGTCATCATCACATGAATACTACAGTGTACTAACCCGTCTTTCTTAGCGATACTTGCAATTATAAACTGAAACCCGAAGCGCGAACCCTCAAGCCCTACAAACTGTGCTGATGTAAAACTCTTCCAAGAAAACACAAAACTAAACCCTGAAATCTAAGCCGCAAACCCCTTGCTGTGCATAATGCCCTTTGGCAAGAAGAAGACAACAACTGCCCTAAACCCTAAACCCTAAAACCTAAACCCTAAACCCTATAGATGCGCCGAGGCGGCCCAGAGGTCCTTCTTCTTCAGAGCCTCCTCCACGGTTCGTCGAGCCTCGAAGCGGTGTTGGCCCTTGAACTCACCGCCGTTCCTCAGAAGCGAAAAGGCACTTTAAGGGCAGGGTATACTATGAGGGTTAAGAAGATGAAAAGGGTTATAGACTGCAAAGGCTACTATGTCGTAGGGTTTTGGGATTGAGGTTCAGAGCTGAAGGTTTGGAGGGT